AAATAAACTACGAGAATATAATTGGTTCCGATTTGTGACTTGTTAAAACCAAAAAATGGGTTCGATTTGTTACTAAATGCGTTATAATCTCCTATACATTACTTTTTATTTCCATCTACAAAACTTTATTAATTTTTAACCTACAAACTATTACAAAATACAACTTATTACATAAGCAGATATAAGCGCCATAATAAAAATACATAATAAAAAAAGTGAATATGACGATATTTTTCGTACACAAGCCTTACTCGCTAACGGATAATAAAATTCTATTATTTTTCTTCCCTATATGACTATATTTGATCTTGCTCTTATGCGAATTGTATGCGTGGAGAGTTTCATTTTGTTAAATCTCCAAATTGCATACCGCATAAAAATAATTCTGAAATTTTGACATTCCAATACCAAACATTCCGTATCATAATCCTCCTAAAAAGCCTTAACTTTAATTTACTTTCGATTGAAGTTTTGTTAACAGAACAAATTGTATTGTCTTCAAGATCTCGTTATCCATCTCGTGGATCTCCTCTAAACTATGAAGTTTCTTGTGTAGCCTTTGTTCACCAATTCTCCGATTGAATACGAGTATATGAAAACTTCAATTGCCATAATTGTTGCATGGTACACGTCATGTGATATCATTGGTACAACATGTCCTACAACATGGTTGACTTTGGTTGTCTCGTATCCATCTTCCCTATGTATAAAACACACCTTCTTTTTCACTTTCCTTTTTGTATAACTTTAGAGGTTGGTCATAACAGTTCTGAGATTTAGGACTCTTTGGACCAATACCCGAATCAAAAATCCATATCACCCCAAGAAACCAATGAGAGTGCCAAATGCTTTGTTGGAAAAATTGCTTGGACAAAACTAGCCTAAACCACTTCCATTTACACGGAAGACTAACATGAAAACGAGGCCGTAAACGAAATGTGCCGTTAGCGGTTCTAACGTAAACTTCTCCTCCATCCATGAAATCACTCTCAATTAGAGAGAAATGGTTTAAAACCCCCAATCTCGTTCCTACACATTATGTGGGAGGTGATTTTTTTGAAGATTGCTTACTTGTGAACTCCACAATCACTTTTTATTTTTGTCACGAACACACTTCATTCCGGCAAACTAGCCAAATACATCAGTATCTGGGAACCAGTAAAGGACTGAAGTGCCAATATAAGAAAACAATAAATTTTTCCGTCGGGCGTGCCGGACCAGCAGGTCTGACCTAGCATTCTTCTCTCTTGGACAATACCGTATGGTACAGTCTGGAAAAGACGCCCGAAGTACCTTGAACTCTTCCAGCTCTACTTGAAAACTCGACCACTGATCCGAGTCTCCCACCATGTTGGTTAATTCCATCGAGTCCATCAGAAAAAGGCTACAATATCTGCGTTTCTTCTGGATGTATGTCATTGCCCACAGAAGGCTGAGGAGCTCTGTATGTAAGGGGGATAGGCTCCTCCTTATACCGCGAAGTCCAATCAAGTCTATCGTGCCGTCTTGTAGTTGAAATATTCACCCTACGCCGCTTGTGGGTTCTCCATCTTTCCATGCTCCGTCCAGATAGCATGCGAATGGTTCATGTGGAACTATAGTAAGGGGTTGGTCTTGGCGGGTCAGCAATTCTGGCTCCACCGGTGTATTAGCTAAGGACCAGGCCGCAGCCTCTTTACCTGCTAACTCAAGGATATCTTGTGCTGA